GGGGGCGGCTGTCAGGGCTGGCGTTGGCCAGGGGAGAAGCAGGCTCTGGGGGAAAGTGCCCGTCCCCATCCCGCCAGACTCTCACTCCACGGGGCCTCGACGGGAGGGCGACCGGCCCCCGGCCCCCGGGCTGAGCCCTGGCCCGGCTCCTGGGGAAGGAAGGCACCCGCGAGGCCGTGGCCGAAGGCTGAAGGCACACTGGGGCCGTGGGCTCTGCCCTGTGTGCTGATCCAGGGCCAGCCTCTGCCCAGGGACTCCTCCCTCGGGTGGCTCTCCCTGCGCCGCGACTGCCCTGCCCAGAGCTGCTCTGCCCACGTGGTCAGGTCGGGATGTGCCACTTCGTAGCTCTGCCTCCAGCCGTCCATGAGAGCTCCCAGCTCCACTCCTGCTGCCTCGCGGTGCCTGCTGGCTGGAGCTGCCCACGGGACAGAGACCCAGCTCACGTGCAACGCGCCCTCCCCCCAGATAAGCCGTCCACGTGAGCAGGGCCGTGGCCGTCACGCACCTCGATGGCCATCAGCCGCAGCGTGGGCCGGATGCCGGCAGGGATGGTGTAGACCCCGTTCTTCCAGGGGGGGACAGGAAGGCGGCCGGGGGCACCGTCCTGGGAGGGGGGCAAGGACGCCGTGTGATGCTCCGGCTTGGCTGTGCTAAGGCCGTTTCTTCGCACAGAATGGACAGAGGATTTGTGCTGGGGAAGGACCAGGACTGGCAGCCAAGAGTGATTCCCGTGGCTTCCTCCCTCGTGGCCGATGGCCCAGTGACACCCTCCTACGTGGGCTGGGGGTTCCGTCCCGGTTCCTTGCCATTCCGGGAGTGCAGCCGTCTCAGCCTTTGGGGGAAGGGGGACCCTCCTGAGACCCTCGCCATGAGGAGCAAGTGACTGTGCCAGTCCCATGGGACCTCGTCTGGCCCAGTGCCGGGGCAGGATGAAGCAGTCCCAGCCCTGCCCGGCCCGGTATTTGCCCAACCTGCTCTTCAACAGGGCTGGGGATTCCACCGCTTCCCAGGGACCCTGCGTCACCGCCCAGCTCCCCGTCGAGGTGGGACGTTTTCCTGACACCGGCCGGACAGTGAGCCAGCCCCTCCTGTCCTACCCTGGGCGGCCACGGAGACTGGTTGTCTCCAGAGATGTGGTAGCCACGTTGGTTACAGGGTACCGGGGAGATTAGGGGGCCTGCCTCCTGTACTGCACCCATTGCTGGGGAGAGAGGTGGGGGGCCGGGGCTCGTCTCTTGTACACGTAGAAGAACATAATTTGTTGGGCAAAAGTCAACATGGTTTCTGTAAAGGGAAGTCATGTCTTACTAATCTCTTAGGGTACGTCTACACTACAGCGCTAGTTCGAACTAACTTAGTTCGAATTAGTTAATTCGAACTA